CTCCTCACAGTTTGTATGTGAAGCTCAGACATGCCAGTGTTCACTGAAAAAAAGTATGCAATGCTTTCATTAGAATTAATACTACAATGTATATGCACTCCTGTGTAAAAAATGGTAATGACTTTTACTGATGTTTTTGGCTTGGTCGCAGTCCAGATTTAAACCTTTTACCCAGAGAGAATTAAAACAGAATATATGGTTTCAGATTAAACACAGACTAGCTTGGTAATGTTTTTCAACTTTTTGAAGCCATCAGTGCTCAGTGGAACATTATTGACTCAATACTAAGTTACTTTATCTGTTTGTTAAGACCATTAAAAGCTTTATTTTTTGCTATATATATATATATATATATATATATATATATATATATATATATATATATATACATATAAGTACTGGTATTTTATAAAAATAAGTTCAAAATGTCACTCACCTGTAGTAAATAGACAAAGAGTGGTGATGAGTGTGATCATTGTTGCTGCTCAGACAATGAGACAGTGAAGTAATGAGGAACTTCTTCATTCAGTGGAAACACCAGCCCTGTGTCGTACCTGATTGGATATTTTGAAGGTGAGCACTGCTGTTATTGGTCCAGTAGTTGTAAGGAAACACAAAAACATCATCCAGTTCTTTTCACCCATAACCACATATCTCTCTACATTCTCACTGTAGAGTGATGTATGCTTGACACAGATGTCGTAGAATGTGGTGGTGCATTAAAAAATAGCAACAGCTGTTTGTTTTGATTGTGTAGCCTTTATATTCATGCTACAGGCTTGTGGAAAGGCTTTGTACATGTGCATTTTGAAATAAAAGGTTTGCTGAAGTGTGTCTCACTGGTTTTCCTATGCACTGCCATGTGGTGAGTATCGCTTCACACCAGAGAGCGTCAAGGCTTAAGTTAAGGCTGCTTTAACTTACTTGTCAGTTCAAATGAACAATAAAAAATGTCAGATGAGAACAACAGAAATGAACATAACTGGTATTGCTTTGTTACCTTTACTTATATTTAGTAAAATTATATTTATATTTGATTTACTTAATATATTTAACTCATTTTATCTTGCATACCATCTAAACTTCAAAAGTTGTGTTGTAAATAACTTTACAAGCGATAATTAAGCAACATCTTGTGTTGTGCAAAAACTAATTTGAATATTTGCTCGACTGATTCTTAATTCAACAGATCATTTCTTTGTGTGTAATTAGCTCTGGGTTGGTTTAAGTTTGAAGACTGAATGCAAGTAATGAGCTGAAACTTGTAGTGGGTGTAAGAGAAAGGGGAGTGTTGATAACAGTGAATGTTTCCAAAGTTTCTGACCTGTCTCTACTTGGCTGTTTGAAAAGCAGGCCTCACCAACAGGAAATACTTATGCATAATGTGACTTTTAACACTGGTCACTGATCTGTAACCTGGTTGTTCATAGTGCAATGGACCTTTCTAACAACAAACCCATATACACTATGAACAACCAGGTTATAGATCAGTGACCTGTCTCTACTTGGCTGTTTGAAAAGCAGGCCTCACCAACAGGAAATACTTACGCATAATGTGACTTTTAACACTGGTCACTGATCTATAACCTGGTTGTTCATAGTGTATATGGGTTTGTTGTTAGAAAGGTCCATTGCAGGACACATGAGCCGATAAACAGTTGTTCAATATGCAAAGTCTGCTTACTTAGAAAACTAATTGCATAGTCATATAATTTCATATAACTGTAATAAATGTAATACAATATTTAACTATAAAGTAATACTACAATTAACTTCTATAATAATACATTACTCAGAGATGTTGCTGTATTACTATACCTTTCACTAGAACGGTTCACAATTACAGTGTAGTGTTATAACTGGATTCTTTATTAAATTCAATAACTTTATTACATTTTCACTATATAGCGATACTAAAATAGTGTTGACCTGTTTTGCTTTCTGTAACACATGGCTAATTTCTGCTAGCATAATAGTGATTTCAATGTTATGTTAGCATTAAGCTAACAGTGGTTAGTATTTGTATTCCATAGCAGCTCTCGACATTAAATGCAGACATATGAAGATCATTACATAATTTTGTACTGGATATCACAGTTTGGATGTTCATTCCTTCAGTAAAGATTCAAATTCAAAGCCTGTCTCTGAATATTATTTGTTCCCATCAACTTTATGCCCAACTTACTGTAGTGATGACAGAATATGGTCCAGTTAAGCCATTTCTCATTACTTGACTGGTATACACTCTCTTGCTCATCAGACATGGCTGTATGTTAAACTGCAGCTGTAATGTTAAAGGTATGAAGGCTGGCTGAGTATGAATTAATGGGACAGGAAGTTTCCTGATCTCATCGAGCAGCAGATCCTTCAGCCTTTAGAGACACATTTTACAATTTCTTGGATGGTAGATAATGTGAATTGGCAACCAAGGTGCAGTTTTGTCAGCTTATATTAACATTAAAAAAGATACTTGATACCTTTACTTATATTTTGTATGATTTTTATTTTATATCAAGTCAACTTCTGAATTTTTGTATAGAACTCATTGGAAGAGATTTACAGTACTGCAGCTCAGTGCTGCCCTTCCATTTCACTTGCAGACTGATAAACATGCAGCCACATGCCAAAGAAATGTACTGTAAAGTCATTTGGTTTGTGTGACTGAAAGCCACATTCATTGTTTTTAGTCAGCTACCCGTCACACAATTTATGTTGTTTAGCTGAGCTCTAATTCTGTGTAGCTCTTAGGTAGCACAGCCTAAACTAGCATAGCATAGCTACTTCAGTTCATTTCAAAGCCATAACATTTTGGCATGCAGTACACTGTAAAAAGAGGGCAGAAGTTGATTTAAAGTGTTTTTGAGGTTTTAATTTCTGTAAAATGTAGCTTTTGTTCATCTAAACAAAAATTTTGCTTTGCATGTATAGTATTTATTTGCTTTGAATAAAACCAGTTGAACTGCTTGTTACCACTTTAAGTAGTTTTCTGTGCTGTTTAGATTATGTACCTTTAGACTGCACAGTACAGGGGGAATGTTGCATTTCTGTATTTCAGCATAAACAAGCAAAAAGTCACAGCGTCCCATTACTCTGTGCTCTCCACTGAGACAGCCAATGTGCAATCATCAGCATACAAACAAACACCTAGAAAGTGATCTTTATTTCACAAGTAGATGACGGTGTAAAACACGTTGTACAAAGAGTGAATGAAGGTATTATTTGTTTTCGGCAACACTTTACATTAAACAGTACACTTTCATCAATATCTGTGATGGACAGTCGCTGACAGAAGATGATAAGACCACAGAGACTTACAGTCCAGTACGTTCATGGTTAACATGGCCGACTAGTTAGCTATTATGTTATGGCTGTACTACAGTGGTTATCAGTCATATCTGGTGTTGCTATTTGATCATTACAGTACAGCTAATTCCCATCATGATATAGTGGTTAATTACCTGCTCAAATAAAAATTTATGTAACACTTTATTTGGAGTGGTCCTTTGTAGATGATTAATAAACAGAGTATCAGTAACACATCAACAACATATCAGTGAATTATCTGTAGTGAAGCATCTGAATACATTGAAGTAAATATCTTGTAGATGTTCTGTTGATACATTACTTAGATTAAGTAGCTGTATTGTTAATATGTTACTTCCATTACGCAAAACCTAACTTTACCCGACCTTACCAAAAACCTAACCCTAACCCAGGCCCTAATCCTAACCCTAACCTTAAACTCAACCCAAAACCTAATCCTAAACCTCAGATGTTTTTGACATGTCTGTTGAGTGTTTGTTTCATCTAAAAAGGGACCACTCAAAATGAAGTGTCACCAAGTTTACTTACTCTTACCAGTGAATGTTTAGGCTGCATAGAATTTAAACGTCTGAATGGCTCAGTTCCCTTTGAGTGTCCTTTGGAAACATTTTCAAGAACAATTCAGTTTTTATTCAACTAAAATAAGTCTTTCACACTTGCACCTCACCCACTGACAGGGTTGTTTTGGGATCCAGGAGTGGGTTTCTATGGCATTGCTCCACAAAGAACCCTTTTGGCACCTTAAAATGTAATATAATAAGATAATAGTATGACACTCTTAATATGCACATATTATATTCTATTGCTTATAAGAACTGTCTACACATGTCTTTGAATAAGCAGCCTTGGTTTTAGGCCTAACCAGTAGTCCACTTAAATTTCTGCTGTGACTCATAGTGAATTGTGTACAGGCTGTTCTTAATCATGAATTCGTAGTATCATTAGTTTATCAGTAGTGAAGATCGTGACTTTACTTGGAGAGACACATAAAGTAGTAATTAATGGTGAAGTAATGTGATGTAAGGAGTAATTAATGGTGAAAACGTAGAGAACTCTGAGGACAGTGTGGCAGCTGAATATGTGGAGGTGCAGGAAAGTGATGAGTAAGGCCAAAGGTCTGTGTTCCACACAAAACTGCACAATGGAGGAAAACATAACAAGAAAACACAGCCAAGGTCTGGATGGCATTATGTGTGGAGACCAGAAGGTGGTGTCTCTGCTTTTTGTGAATGATAATGTCCTTTTGGCTCCATCACATGGATGCCTCCAGTGCACACGGGAGTGGTTTGCAGAGTGTGAAATGGATTGATATGTGGATCAACACCTCCAGGTCTGAGTCCATGTTCCTCACCTGGAAAAGAATGGCATGCCCACTCGAGGTAAGGGGAAGGGGCCTGCCCCAGGTGGAGGAGTTTAAATATCTGGAAGTCTAGTCCACGAATGAGATCGGCCCCATGCTGGGACAGGTGGCAACAGTAATGTGGTCGCTGTAACCGGACTGTAGTGGTGAAGAGGGAACTGAGCCACAGGACAAAGCTCTTTGTTTACCAGTTGGTCTACATCCCCACCCACCCTCACCTATAGTCATGAGCTTTGGGTAATGATCGAAAGAATGAGATTGCAGATGCAAGCGGCAGAAATTAGTTTTATTTGAGGGGGGTGGGCTACACTCTACTTCACATGATGAGGAGCACAGTCATCCAGGAGGATCTCAAAGTGTAACTGCTACTCCCCACATTGAAAGGAGCCAGTTGAGGTGGTTCGGGCATTAGATTAGGATGCCCCCTGGCCACCTTCTCTTGGAGGTTTACTGGGCACGGCCAACTGGGACGAGACTCCAAGGTTGTCCTAGGACCCGCTGGAGGGATTATATCTCCAAATTGGCCTGGGAGTGGTTCAGGATCCCCCAGAATGAGCTGGAGGAAGTTGCAGAGGACAGGGTCATCTGGGATTCTCTGATCTCCCTATTGCTACTGCGACCCTAGTTGGATCAAGCTATTTAAGAAGATAAGAAGATGAATCAATCATATATGACAATACCTGGCTGCTTAATAATTTTTCATCAAAGATGTCGGTGTCTTAAAAGGCAGATGCAGTGTGAAGTCTGGGTGAGTTAGCATTATACTGTCCTGTTAACCAGAGATATCCTTTTGTGAAAAGGCAGCTGTGATGGTAAAAGTATGAAGACTGGGTGAGTGGAAGTGGCTGTTCAGTGAAGTAGGATGTTTACCTTGATCTCACGAAACAGCAAATCCTAACAGCCTGTAGAATCACATACTTTCTGTAAAGGTAAATGTGCCAAATGGTGGAGACTTCACATTTTGCAGTTTCTTGGAAGACAGATACACTAAAAAGTAAGGTACGTGAAGTGGCAGGAAAATGCTGTAATTTACAAGTGAGTGAAAATTACCAAGTGTCAGATGAGAACAATTGAAATGAACATGAGGTTGCCTATACTTATATTTTATATTTGTTGATTTTATATTAAATAAACTTAAGAATTTGTGTAATTGTTTATTCAAACAGAAATAACAATCAAGGAGATGCACAGCACTGTAGCTCTTTCCTTTTCCTACCATTACACATGTAGACTTGCAAACACACAGGCAAATGCCAAAGAAATACACTGTAAAGTCACAATAAAGGAATGTGTTCAATTAATAAGCATAAGACGTTACAAGTAATTATGGAACGAGTATTTTGTAAGTAGTGACTGCATGTTTGTGAGTCTACAAGATATTTGTTCCACTGCCTTTAATTTCAATAAATCATTTCTTCATATTATTGCTTTTTAAATTTCATTTTTTATTGAATAAATTACTTTAACTATTGATGGTATGTAGTTGAGTTAGTTTTGAAGACTGAATGCAAGTAATGAGGTAAAACTTATAGTGGGTGTAGGAGAAAAGAGCAGGGATAGAAAAAATGGTTCTGATCTGAAAGTTTCCGACCTGTCCCTATTAGGTTGTTTGAACAGCAGGCCTCACCGACAGGAAATGCTTACACACAATGTAATAACAGGCAGATAGAGGTAGCAGACAAATCTATATTTATAACCTAACAATGCTGAATAAGCTCACAATTGAAATGAACTACTAAAACACTAGACCAGACTATGAAGACTAGAAGCTATAGACCAACAGTAAGCAAGAACTAAGCCAAAGAAGAGACCCAGACACAACAAGTGTAGGGTGGAGTATGGTAGACTAAGCTAAACCAAGTAAAGTTAAGATGGACTATTAACATGACTGAGAATAACATAGATTGAATACATGCAAGACCAGTTTGTTAGGGACATGTACCTTGTACTTACCATTTGTTGGCTATATTGTCATTCACACCTACCATAGTGATGCACTATAATTTCTGAATATAGCTCATGTGTTTTTGCGCAATTTACCAGCCACCCTCTACTTTGTCCATCAATGGAAAGACAATGCCATAATATCTATACAGTCATACTTTACTCCACCTCTCTAGCTTGGTGCTAAGATAACAGTGAAATTTCCATTAAGATGCTTATAAAACTCTTATCTTAGCAGTGGCAATGAGTAGAAAACTTCAGTTACAGGGTTTCTGCATTAATCAACATTAAGCTGGGTAATGACTTGCTTGACTATCACATGTTCTTGATTTAGTCACTGTATTGGGCAGTAAACTGTATCTTGGTGTAAATAAGTAAGTCCAACATCTATTATCTCTTCATACTGTCCTCTGCTGCAGCCATTGTTGAACTCTCCAAAATGGCACCATGGCCACACCCCCTACTCTGCTGCCTCCATCGAGACAACCAGTGAGAGATCGTTAATTTAAAATTCAACACCCAGAAAATGACTTTTTATTCACAGTGAAGTAAATGACTGTCAAAACACATCATTCAGAGTCTGAATTAAGGTTTTCTTTCTGCTCTCTACAGTTGTCCTTAGTGAGCACAGAGAAATATAATAAAGTGAATAAAATATGTCTCTTTTAAAAGGAATGATTTTCTGTTCTGCTACCAACAGAATCAGAATCTTGAGATCAGTAAGACATTGTGCACTTAATCCAACATCAGCAATTATGTAAATATAGAGTCTGGCACTATGTTTATAAATGATTTAGGAATGGAATATACAAAAATAGAAATGCATAAATGGAATGCTTAAATATAATGATGACTTAAAAATGAGCTAACTGTGTCCACATTTCAAGAGAAAACATTACAAATAGACAGGATACATTCTCAGGGGCAAAAGTTTGGCTTTTTACTTTTTGCTTTTACATATTTTACAACGACAAGACTAATCGAAGTTAGCTTGGATAATTATTTTGAATTTATCTCATAATTAAACATGCACACAATTCATGTTTCATTTTTCTGCATGATCCATGAATGATTTTATTGAAAAATTTACTTAAAAAAATAAGACATTTGCAGTTAACATACACATGAGTCTGTACACAGGTGTTATCACATGCACTTTACTATCATAAAGCCTTTATTACAATATGCTTCTAATCAACAAGCTATTTATTTTTTCCCTGTGAGTTCATAGATAAAAGAGAAATCATTGATAAATGTAGAGTGTAGATTTGAAAGAGCTATTAAACAGTTTAAACATGTATGTATAAAAAAATCTTTTGAGACCTCTTATCTACAATGGTTATAAACACAGAGCATTCTAAAAACTTTGACTGGCTATCATGTGTTCTGTGTGCTAAAAGGCCTATACTATAGGCTTTAATAAGGTTTTATATTGGTGCCTTTTGCTTGGATTTTCATGATCGTAATTTATAGATGCTCCCTCATCTCTCAGTGGTTTCAGCAGTACACAGCAATCAATGTGTCCTATGAGATCAAAATGCATTACTTTTACACCAAAACTAATGATAATTTACACACATTAACATTTTGCACACATCATTTGAAAGCTATTGAAGTAAGAGACCATGCATGTGAAAATGAAACCAACTTTACTGCTCACAAGACTCTCTTCATGTTTCCGAACTGTTAGTTAATGTTAGCCCACTTTAGCATTACATTTTATAGCTACTCAAACTGCAGAATTGTATGTAGCAACATAAGACAATAAAAGAGCTGACTGCCAGATCAGATCAGTTTGCTGCTGTAGAATCAGACATTATGGAAACCAAGTTAAACACTTGATTCAAATATCTTTGGAAAAGCACTGCAGATATCAGTTCTGTCAATAAAATAAAACACTAACATTTCTATGGATTGTCTTAATAAAACACAGTGAATTGCTGCTCATGAGGGGGAATCTACAGAAATCGCTCCTGACAACAGGACCCTCTCACCCTCGTCTTCCCCAAATTAAAAACTTAAAATCTATGATTCATGTGACATATTTATCACTAAAACAATTAATTTTGTTGAAAACTGGTAATGACCCTACTTTTATAATGTACCTGTAATCTGATCACTGTCTGTTTTTCTGTACTGGAATACAGGTTGTTTTTTTGTTTTTTTTGATTATGTAACGCTGTTATGTTACACATATTCCATTACTAGCAGAGTTAGGTCTGTTGGTTACAGTGCATCCAAAAATGTGATTTACCCATTTCCCATCAGCTATATTTGACCTGTGAATACATGCTTTGACTTTCCTTCTGCTTTCTGGAGGAGGAATTTTTCTTAGAAAAATCCAGGGCAGCATAGTTTAAGACTTCTGTGTCCTCAGCCTGAGATACAACAAAAGTCATTACAATCCATTGCTGACCACATAGAGAGCAGGTGCTACAAGTACAAGTAATACAATACAATAAATGTACTGTAGATTTTAGGACAGATCTGTGCTTATGTGAAGAAATATTAACAATGATGATAGTCATGATTACCTGATCAGTGTGGCTTGGATGGTCGTTTGTAGCACCTTTACAGAAAAATAATCTTAAGTAATGTTTGCATGTAGTAAAGTGATTTAAATATTGATGAGAAAGTTATACAGTGACTCTAAAAACCAAAACTAACCGTTTCGTTGACTCTTAAGTAGAAATCCAATCAAAACCATGATCACCATAACAGATATCACATTCAGTATTGTCAAGGTGATAACAATCCCGCTATTATTATTATTATTTTCTGAAATGATAGGAAAGTTATGCTTTGGATTAGTAACAGATCTTGTATTCATAAACAAGAGTTGCTGCTAGAAAAAACATGTAAAATTTGTAAATACAGAGAAACTCCATTACAGAAGAAAAGATCTATTCAAAAGTCTCACCTTGTACTTTAACTTTAGTTTGATTTCCGAACAGAATCCGCCCACATGCAGCCACAGCACAGTAGTAAGTTCCAGCATCAGAGAGGCTGAGGTTTCTCTTGGGGAGTTTGTAGACACAGCTCTGTGTAGGAGAATCAGTCTCAGAGCTTTTCTTACACTCATCACTCCTGTTTCCATGAGTGTAAATGATTCCTGGATGAGATTCTCCTGATCCATGTCTGAGCCAGTACACACTGTGTTCTCCTGAACAGTTTGAAGTAAGAGATTGTACTGAACACTGGAGAGTAACAGACTCTCCAGTCTTGATCACCATTTCAGTCAGAGGACGATGGATCTTCTCAGCTTTAAAATAATTAGTAAACCAATAAAACTGACAGAAATATGACTAAAAATGATGAACACTAAACACAAATTAACATAAATTCTTAAATGAAATAAATGGACTTAAAAAGTACAGATATTACAGTAAAGTTAGAGAGAGCTGTTTACCTTGAAAAAACAAATAAGTCCCAGATCCAAACTCTACAACATTTGCCTTTACTTTTCCACAGAAATATGTTCCGGCATCTTCTTCCTTTATTCCATTAATATTGAGATCAAATACGTTTTTATCCACAGTGAAGCGGCCATCCTTAAAATTTGAATTAAATCTGGGCGTCCTTCCTTGTCCAAGCAATCTCATGACAGACTCTGGCACTTTACCTAAACTCTGCTTATACCAAGCTAAATTGTGAGTTTCACTGTCTTTGGTAATGTTTTCATCACATTTTATGACAACATTATTTCCACTCCTCACAGTTTGTACTTGAAGCCCAGAGACGTCAGTTTTCACTGTAAAAAGTGAAATGTTTTCAGTGAACTAGTTCATTACATTAGTTATGTAGAGTATAGAGTATTAGTATTTTACATAAACAAGTTCAAAATGTCACTCACCTGTAGTAAACAGGCAGAGAGTGGTGATGAGTGCGATCATTGTTCCAGCTTAGGGAATGAGACAGTGAGGTAATGAGGTCTGTTGAGGTCCTTTGTTCAGTGGAAACATCAGCCCTGTGTCATATCTGATTGGACATTTTGAAGGTGGGCACTACTGTTATTGGTCCAGCAGTTGCAAGGAAACACAGAAACATCAAACAGTTCTTTTCAAACAAAACCACATATCTCTCCTGCATCTTTACTTCATAGTAATGTTCTCTAAAATAGAATCTGTAGAATGTGGTGGTATATTAACAAAATGACAATAGTTACACATTTATTTTGATTGTGTGATAAGTAACTACAAGTTATCAAGAACTGAACCTTTTTATCACAAGCATTTTGACCCCTTAAAATCCCAGTCTTATTACATACTAAGTCTTGCTATTCGGGAACTATAGGGACCTCAATGCAAACTGGCTGAGCTGTTCTAGCTTTTGTTTATCCCTTTTTCCACCAATAAGGTAATGCTGATTTCTGCTAGCCCTGTTATGAGGATCTCAGTGATAAGTTAGTATTAACCTAAGATGGGTTGTTAACTCCCCCAAAGTCATTTATGACATTACCTTTCTCCTTTATAGCTTTTCGTTAGATATGTCTGTGTCTTAAAAGGCAGATGCAGTAGTAAAAGTATCAGGGCTGGGTGAGCTAGCTTTATACTCTCCGGTTCATCAGTGACATCCTTATGTGACAAGGTGGCTGTGATGGTAAAAGTATGAAGGCTGGGTGAGCGGGAGCAGCTGTTCAGTGGGGCAGGATGTTTACCTCGATCTAATGAAACAGCAAATCCCAGCAGCCTGTAGAATCACATACTTTCTGTAAAGGGAAATATGCCAAAAAGGTAGATACACTGATGGCGATTTACAGCACTGTAGCTGGTTCAGTTTCATTCCGTTACACTTGTAGATTCACAAACATGCCAAAGAAATGCACTGTAATGTCACAATTAAGGAATGTGTTCAATTAATAAGCATACGATGTAACAAGTAATTATGTAACAAGTAAGTAGTAATTTGTAAGTAGTGGCTGCATTTGTTCCACTAACCTCATTTCAACAAATTATTTCCTCATATTATTTTTTATTGAACAAATGCCTTTAACAATTAATGACATGGAACAGTTGATTTAGTTTTGAAGACTGAATGCAAGTAATGAGTGTAGGAGAATGAAGCTGTGATGACCTGTCCCTGTTAGGCTCTTTGAGCAGCAGGCCTCACCAACAGGAAATACTGACACACACACTGACCATTAACTTATTACCAGGGCACAAATAAGTCTTACTCATAGCAAATGGCTGATATCTTTCTAAATTAGTATTTCTTTTGTCTAACAGCTCTGTGAATCTGAGTTGTTATACAGAATTACTACTGAAAGCCAGTTTTGGCGTTTGATCTTGACTAAAATCGTGTTTGAGTGCAGCGCTTTGAGAATTCACTACTCAGATGGGTCGTGTTGTTGAAAGTCACAATCTTTTTTTTCGTCAGATACACAACTGATGTTTGGCCTGACTTATTCACTTGTCTATGTAGCACAGCCCTCGTTGTGTATAACTATTTTTGTTGTGATATACAGGGTGATTCAAAAAGATTTATCTGATTTCAAAATTATTTATTTCATTTGTGAATCATTACACAACAATGCAGTAAATTGTAAATGGTTTAAGTGAGCATAAAGTCTGTTAAGCAATTGTACAAGTGCTCAGTATGAACCTCCTCCAGCTGTACGGACAACGTCAACGCGATAGTCAAATTCATCCCATACTTGATTGAGCATGTCGGGTGTCACTGTACTCACGGCTCTTTCAGTGCAATTTCGGAGATCATCCTGTGTTGTAGAACCAAAGATGAATGCTCTGAGTTGTTGGAGGTTCACTGCCGACAAAAATCACGTTGCAGAGTTATGAAAGATTCACTCTTATTGAAGTGGAGAACGCAAAACGTTTTTGGAAGGGAGCTATCTTCCAGGGACAGTCAGAAACTCTATGACCCCCTCTTTCAATTGGTATGTAATTGGTTCCTAGGTGCTTCATGGTTGTAAAATATGGTGCTTTGAAATCAGATGAATCTTTTTGAATCACCCTGTACTACATTTAAAATCTCAGACCCACTTGGCTCTGCGGTAGGCATCAAAAACATTTGGAGCATGGACCATCGTACCATGTTAACAGTGATTTAAATTGAGTAATTGTTGTTGTTCTCAATGTTGATCTCAAAATAGTTTTCATTCACACCTAGTGGTGCACTCTGTAGGTTTATAATTTCTGATTATAGCTCATGTGATGCCGTGCAATTTATCAGGCACCCTCTACTCCAGTGGTGCACAACTCCAGTCCTGGGGGGCCGGTATCCAGCACAGTTTGGTAGTTCCCCTGCTCAAACACATGTACTAAACCTGGCAGTTAACGGATGAGTGTAATCAGGTGTGCTTGACCAGAGAAATGACCAGAATGCTCTGGACACCGGCACTCCAGGACCAGAGTTGTGCACCCCTGCTCTACTCTGCCCATTAGTGGAAAGAGAGTAGCACTTTACCCCACTTTTCTAGCTTGGTGCTAAGATAACAGTGACATTTCCATTAAGATGCTTACGAACCTCTTAGCAGTGGCAATGGGTAATAATAATAATAATAATAATAATAATAATAATTACAGCTTCAGTTACAGTGTTTCTGTGTTAAACAACATTAAGCTGTGTTATGATAAACTTGGCTGCCACATGTTCATGATTTAGTCACTGTATCAGGCACTAAACTGTATTTCAGTGTAAATAATTAAAAAGTCCAATATGTATTATCTCTTTATATTATCCTCTGCTGCACCCATTGTTGAGCTCTCCAACATGGCACCATGGCCACACCCCCTACTCCGCCCCCTCCATCAAGACAGACAATGAGAGATTACAAGCTTAAAAATCTAGCCAAACACCCAGAAAATGGCCTTTTTATTCACAGAGAAGTAAATGACTGTAAAAAAAAAACACATCATGCAAAGATGCAGTTAAGGTGTTATTTGTTTTTTACTCTCTACAGTTGTCCTTCAGTGAGCACAGAGAAATATAATAAAGTGAGTAAAATATTTCTCTTTTAAAAGGAATGACCTGCTCTGCTACTTAATGACTCACAAAAGTACTGTATGATCAGTTAGACATTATAGATAACACGCAATCCAACATCTCTGGAATAATGTAAATAGAGAGTCTGGTACTATGTTTATAAATAATATATGCATAGAATTTACAAAGACAAGACTCACAGAAGGTAACTTGAGTTTTAGTCTATCTAATTAAAGCTACACACAATACAGATTTCATTTTTCCACATCATCCATCAATGATTTTATTGAAAAATGAATTCACAAAAAACATTCACAAATTCACAATTCAGAATAAGACATTTGCAATTAATATACAGATGAGTCTGTACACAGATTATTGAAAAAAAATAATCTCAAATATTCAGATAGTGAATTCTACAGTGGCGTCCTGGTCAGTACAAACTTTAACACATCCAGTGCTAACTGATTACATACAACCTTGCCTGACTGACGAAATCATGCCTTTCAACAGTTATGCCCATGTTGATGCATCGCTTCAGTTGTCTGATGTACATGACGTGGGTTTCATTTCAACTTAGAGGCGACCTTATACAGCCAAGAATATATTATTAGGAATGTGCCAATAAAGTTATTAAATATGCAGACCTTCTTACCTTGAAAACAAATTATTTGGTCATATAGTATTTTAACTATAATAAATACAGCGTTGTATAACTATATAGTAATACTGTAATTCAATCTACGATAATAATATATTATACAGACATGTTGCACTTTAAATCTCTCTCACCAAAACTATTCACAGTGATAATGCAGTGTTGTAATGGGCTACTTCATCAACTTCATTAACATTAACATTTGTATAAGATGGTTCACCAACCCCTGCAATGGAGACTAAGGTGTTATTACATGCACTTTACTATTATAAAGCCTTTATTACAGTATATTTCCAATCAACAAGCTATTTGCTTTTCCACGTGAGCTCATGGATAAAAGAGAGAAAACTGATAGAAGCTAGAATCTAGATCTGAAAGAGCTATTAAATAGTTTAAACATGTAAGCATACACTGTACAGAATAATCTACTATATGTTTTGAGTTTGTTTAGCTGCTTGTATATTCAACCCTATTAAGACACTGCAATTGGTTAAGCAAGAACAATGAAATATCAGACTGATTTTCTCCATGTTAAAACCTTAACATCACACTCTCGCTATGAAGTTCTAATACCAGGTTTTTTGTCTTCATTGCCATTTACACACATACAGATTTCTGATCTACTGTCTTTTAGATCAGTATAGTGTCAAATAAACATACATAAATTAGATGTAGAAGTTTTGCTCTGAAATTACCAGCAATCTTTTAGATGAGAAATCTGCTAGATCTACTAAATTAGCTAGCTAGCTGTTGCTAACAGCTACAGATTTGGTCTCCTTTAATCCAGAGCAGGCCTAAAGCTTGCAGTGACTTAAATATTGAGCCTCAAAGAAACAATCACTGACATTTACAGAAACGGTTAAATCTAGGGGGAGCAATATATGGAAATGTTTCAAACATAAAGATGACACATTTGCACAGTATAATTTGTTTGAGTTTAGACATGTATACTCATGAGGAGTGAAGAAGGTGACACTTTCAGAAATCAAGGCAGCTGCCCAGATCATAATTTTAACAGGACAATAAAAATTATTTGGTACACTGAGACTAAAAGTTCTGATACTAAAACACAGAGAAACAAGTCATTACTGTAAAATGATCAAGTACTTTGGAAAAAAAAACTATACTGCTCTCTTGGGACTTATGTGGCCCCCATATCTTCCTTATTTGCCTTATTTGGTAAAAAAAAAAACATTGTTTACAACACGATAAAGATCACTCTACTATAAATCTTACTTTGAGACCCTTCATCAACAATGATTATAAATAAAGAGCATTCTACAAACTCTGACT